TTTCCTAATATCGCATGAAAAAAATCTCCTGGGCTCACCTGGGTCTGGGCTTATAGGATGATTTCATATAGAACTCAAGTAGAGAGAAGACATTTACACATGGGGCAGCAGTGCCACCTTGTGGACAAGTATAGGAAAGCAGCCACACTGTAAGCTGCACCCTTCCATGGAATTGCTTTTTGTTTGTTTGATTTTTAGAGACAGGGTCTTGCTTTGTCGCCCAGGATGGAGTACAGCGGTGAGATCATAGCTCACTGCGGCCTCCAATTCCTGGGCTCAAGAGATCCTCCCGCCTCAGCCTCCTGACTAGCTGGGATTATGGATGTGAGCCACCGTGCCCTGCTGGAACTGCTGTTTAGATAGTTTGCTCTCAGGGACCCGCAGAAGACTCACGTCATAAAGTTTCTTGCTCATAGGAGACTCTTTATGCAAACAGACATTATAGTTGGGTGCTGGTGGGAGAGGCTAGATTTTTTCAGCATTTGGAAGATCCTTCCACACTATATAAATCAGAAAACATGTGCGCTTGAGTTGTGAACACATTTAATGGCGAACATTATTTTAGCCGTGTTTTTTGGTTTAAAATTAATATTTGCTTCTTCATTTTATTGGAAAATAACAGGCCAATTGTATTTTTAATAAATTCTGGAGAACTGTATTAGTTCTTTTTGTTTTCATTTGAGTGAAACCATTCAAGAAAGAGAATTTTTCTGATTTTATCCTTTCAGCAGTATCATTTCATTTTTATATTTTCTAAGTATTAGAAACTTGCTTAAAAGATGATTTTGTTAGGTAAGAGTGAGAGCCAACATGGTAGACCAAATGTGAATGTTGAAGTTCGATGAAGAATTGTATCAGCCTCATAATATCACAAAATTATTTGTCTTTTTAAATTTTATATTATTTTTTGAGTCAAGTTCTTGCTTTGTTGCCTGGGCTAGAGTGCAATGGTGTGGTCATTGATCACTGCAATCTCAAACTCCTGGGCTCAAATGATCCTCCTTGTACAACCTTCTAAGTAGCTGAGACTATGCCTGGCTAATTTTTAAAAATTTTTTGTAGAGATGAGGTCTCGCTCTGTTGCTCAGGCTGGTCTCAAACTCCTGGCCTCAAGCAATCTTCTTGCCTTGGCCTCCTACAGTGCTAAGATCAAAGGTGTGAGCCACTGTACCTGGCTAGATGTGTCTTTAATGACTCATTATGTATGATATAATTATCATAATTATAATTATGTCAGGGAATGTTACAACCTTGATTAGCCATTGACCGGTAATGACTATGTATCTTTTTCGATAGAAGAACTTAGTGTATACAACTCAGTAAACAAGGTAAAATTTCTGATACTTAGGGGGATTAATGTCAATAGACCTTACCTTCTTCTACCCTTGATTTTAACCTATAGGTGCTTATTGTCATTTTGGTAGCTAAAAGAGTTGGCAGAGAGAAAAAACCAAAGATAATAAGATCCTTTCCCAGCGGCGCAGTGGCTCACGCCTGTAATCCTAGCACTCTGGGAGCCGAGACAGCGGATTGCTCGAGGTCAGGAGTTCGAGACCACCCTGAGCAAGACCCTGTCTCTACTAAAAAATAAAGAAATTAATTGGCCAACAAATATATATACAAAAATGAACGAACTGGTGAATCTGTTTCTCCATTAGTGTTACTGCATGACAAGGCAGCAAACTTTTATCACACCTGCTATAATTTATCGCTTTCAACACAAGTGGAAGAAGCTCATGCTGTGTGCCAGGTTCCTATTTTGGGAGAGTAATGATTCTCTTTATGCACCACACTTATTTCTACAGAACTCTACCTGAGCACAGAAGATCTGAAAAAACTCCATGATTTTGAAGAGCAGTGTGTGGAGAAATACTTCCATGAGAAGACGGAAAATCTGAACTGCAGTTGTGAGGCACGAGTCCGAGTGACATCAGAAAGGTGGGTGACAGCTGTATATATCTTTCCCATTCCCAAACTGCTACCAAAACCTGATTCTACTAGAATGTCTAAAAGAGGAGAAAGACCCACTTTCAAATCCCAGAGGTTCGGTTTCTCAAAAATTGGAAGCGTGTAGTAACATATAATACTCATATAACCAATGCTTATTTATGGAGCATCTACTGCGTTCCAGGCATTCTTGCAGTTATGATAGTAAGGATAAATGGTGAATGAAAGACTAGAGTCCCTGTCTTCAGAGGACTTGTGTTCTAACATGTGTGTGTGTAGGTGGTGAGGGAAATAAAGGAAGTAGGGAACAAAAAGTAAGCAAGGAAACACATACGAATATGTAATTTAATATCAGGTGGTAAGAGAGCTATGAAGAAAAGTAAAGTAGTTTAAGAGAATAGGAAATGATGGTGGTGTGAGACCCGGAAGAGTTGGGGGTTGGGTTGGACTGTCTGGTGCAGGAAGGTGGCTCTGAGGCGTTTGGGAGGAGAGGACTGAAGGAAGTGAGGGGAGGGGCCAGGCAGGGACGTGGGTGGAACAGCGCACCAGAGTAGCGGAGGAGGAACAGCACCTGCAAACCCCCTGAGGCAGCCCGCTGTGTCCGGCAGCAGCGGGGAGGCCCCGAACAGAGGTAGAGCCCAGTGTGCTAGTTGGATGAGGAGTCTCTGGGCACCTGACTTAGCGACTGTCGTGTAGTGGAGTTGGTGGCAGCTTTGCTGAAGTCAGTGAAGAGAGAATAGACATGGAGACAGCAATTGCAATTGGCTTTTGGGGGCAGTTTTACCATGCAGAGAAGTGAGATGGGAAGTGGGGACATGGTGAGGTTCTTGCCTTTTGTTTTGCTTCATGTGGAAATAGCAAAATACAGTTGTATGGCCCCAGAGATGACCCGTCAGCAGGGGAGAAACTGCAGAAGCAGGAGAGAGGAGGCTGTTTGCCGGGGGAGGTGCTGGAGGGGCAGGTTCATGGAGGAGGGCCTTGGGCTTCCCCCCCACGCAGGGGAACAGGAGAGTGTGTGGTCGGGGTACGAGAGGAGGCAGACACAGTGGTGGGCGCACAGTTCTTGAGGCAAAGCCCTCCACCGGGAGCGCCTGTGGGTGTGTGTGATTTGAGGGCAGGAGGGTGGGGTAGGGAGGGCAGTCAGAGGTTTGAGGAAAGAGGAGATGTGTTGGAGAACGTGAACGTATTAAGAGACTATAATGGGACAGAAGCTATCGCGGATGGATGCATTGCTAACTGGGCACATGGATCGTGTTAAAATATGCAAGACTATATGGGATGATATGCATTTTTTTTAAACACAGAATTGCTCTTGTAAGTGGAAGCAAATTGACAGAAGTTAAATGTGTTCCTTCATTTTTGAATATAGATGGAACTGACTATAAAATGTTATACCTTATTATGCAAGTATTTTTTCCCCAATGTCCAACTATCAGATAGATAGGTGTGAATCCTTAAATATGGTTTTATTTATTTAAAACTGAGTCACATTAAGAGCTTCCTAAATGGTTCACTATGGGCATAAGTCATATTTATGTAAGTCTGGACTTTTCTATTGATACCATATCCATGCAAATACGTGTTTATGTGGGTGATTAAACTTCAGATCAGATTTAATAGTGAGAAAAAATTGAATATCAAACTGAATTTGATATTCAAAATTGAATAGCATAGATTTGTGAGTCCATAAAATCCTATTTTACCTAAATAATATCTTTAGGTCACAGCTATATGACTTCTCTTTCTGTTTCCCTCTTCCACACAGTCTGCCCCCTTACAGCTGTGCTCACTGAGTCTGTGGGCCAGCTTGGTTCTCAATTTTGTGTGAAGCATACACCCACATTAGGAGGTTACAGAGCTGAGATAAAGTCCTGCTGCAGCCGCTTACTAGCTATTGTACTTGGGCAAATTTCCTGAACCTCTTTGGGCTTTAGTGTACTTATCTATAAAATGGACATGAAAACAGATCTACCCCTAGGCCAGGCGTGGTGGCTCACGCCTTTAATCTTAGCACTCTGGGAGGCCGAGGCGGGCTAATCGCTCAAGGTCAGGAGTTCGAGACCAGCCTGAGCAAGAGCGAGACCTCGTCTCTACTATAAATAGAAAGAAATTAATTGCCTAACTAAAAATATATATATAAAAAATTAGCCGGGCATGGTGGTGCATACCTGTAGTCCCAGCTTCTTGGGAGGCTGAGGCAGAAGGATCACTTGAGCCCAGGAGTTTGAGGTTGCTGTGAGCTAAGCTGACACCATGGCACTCTAGCCCAGGCAACAGAAGGGAGACTGTCTCAAAAAAAAAAAAAAAAAAGAAAGAAGACAGACCTACCTCTTAGAGTTGTGAAGATGAATGAGATAATATAGATGACCCATGTGGCAGTGTGCTAATAGAAAGGGTGCAATGAAAGTTATCTATTATTTTGCAAAAATAGACTCCAAAAATTTGTGAGTATAATTTCTCTTTAAACACAGATCTCCTTCCCAACCTTAAGAAAAGGGAAATAAATAGATAAGTTGGGGTTGGTTGAAATAGCCTACTCTCTTCCCCCAAGATTATGAACTAGGACAAGTTCATGGAGAGCTCCTTACTTTAAACTATAAAGTGAGGAAGGCTTTTAGAGGGCCAGTGATATGGACAGATTTACCTTCAGTGGTAATGTGGATTTGGTGTCAGAACTGGAGCCAGGGAGATCCCTTGAGAGAATGGTGCAGCCCATGGTGAGTCCTCCAGCCTAGTCCAGGTTAGTGGTGTTGGGAGTGAAAGGAAGGGATGAACGAGACATATGGAGAAAGGACAATTCATGAGTCGTGTTAGGGATTAGATGTGAGCCGAGGGAGGGGATAGAGTCCAGGATGACTGTAGCAGGGGTAATCAAGCTTTGAAAGAAGGTGCCATCCAGATAAAGAATGTATAAAAGGTATGGGAAGAAAGCAGTGTAGATTTCTTGAGCTGAAGGTTCTTGTGGCACATTTAGCTGGAGATGTCCAGGAGTCTTTGGATGCATGAATCTGAAGACCTGGATGAGGAGATCATCTGCCTATGGGAAGAGTCAATTGTAGGAGTCATCTGCCCATCGTAGGAAACTAAAATATGGCAGAGGAAGGGATTGTGCCCATCAAGCAAGTAGAGTGAGGAAACTGGGTGGGCTGAGGGTTGAACCCTAGGAGGTGCCAACTTCTGTACAGTGGGCAGAGAAAGAGGAACTCATGGAAGAGAGAAGCAGGAACTGGGCAGGGGAGTATAAGGAGAACAAAGAGAAGGTGGTACCAGAAGCCAAGTGACACAGAGGAGAAATTTGGGAACCAGACATTTACAAACAAATAATTAAATGGTAATAAAATCCTAAAACCATTAATTATCATATCTCGTTATATTTTTCTTAGATTCCTTTCTTGGGATTTGAGTAGAGGATTAGAAGGTAGATGGGTATGTAGCTCCTGAAAACTATGGATACTTCCAAGGAGTTTAATGAAGCTCTAATTCAACTGCAAAATACAGTCAATTTTCTCTCTGATAGAACTATCTCAACGGCAGTTTTTTTTTTTTTTTTTTGAGACAGAGTCTTGCTCTGTTGTCCCATGTAGAGTGCAGTGGCGCCTTGTAGCTCACAGCAACCTCAAACTCCTGGGTTAAGCCATCCTCCTGCCTCAGTCTCCCAAGTAGCTGGGACTACAGGCTCATGCCATGACGCCCAGCTAATTTTTCTATTTTTAGTAGAAGCAGGGTCTTGCTCTTGCTCAGGCTGGTCTTGGACTCCTGAGATCAAGTGATCCTCTTTCCTCGGCCTCCCAGAGTGCTAGGATTACAGGTGTGAGCCACTGTGCTTGGCCAGTGGTGCTGTTTTTATACTGTCATACTTGTCGATGTCATTTCTGGGGAGCTCATAAAAGAGGTGTGAGGGGGGGGTAAATATTTCCTAACGTAACTGAGCAATAGTTTGAAGAGGGAGGAAAAAGAGATCAGGAAGATATTTGTATGTTTGCTTACCTCTAAAGAAGAGATTGCTTACATCCTTCTAGATTTTTTTTTTTTAAATTTCAGCATATTACAGGGTACAAATGTTCGTTCATATATTGCCTTTGCCCCAGCCAAGTCAGAGCTTCAAGCGTGTCCATCCCCCAGACCATGCACACCACACCCATTAGGTGTGAATATACCAATCCCCTACTCCCCCACCACCCACCTGACACCTGGTGAATGTTACTCCTTCTAGAATTAAGTGAGTTGTGCAAGTGGGAAAAAGAGTGTGGTAAGGCTGTTTTATACCTTGCTTTCTTTCTCTACTTGCAACCCTAGTTTCTTTTTTGACCCTAGTAGTGTAAGCCAGCTTTTCCCTCTCTGTGTTCCTTGAAGTAAATGTTTTCATTATATTTTTCACACTGAGCATGTTTGAATGCATTCTATTGGGAAATGCTGTGTTTAAAAATGCACTTGCTTTAACATAATGTGCATTGTAACTCGACAGTGGAGAGTTGCAGCTTGAGCAGGCCTCATTGTTTGACTGTGAAACGTTACTGAGGAATGTCTGTGAGCATCTCTCTGCACGGGAAATGTGGGTGAAGTGCGTTTAGTACTTCATGGGACTCTAGGAGCCCCCAAAAGAAACTTCGCCTAGATCCCAGCTGACCTGCTGAGAGGTCCTGGAATGCGGTGCTTCATGCCATTGAACGTGGAGTCAGACTGCTCGTGTTTGATGCCCGACTCGGTCCCTGGCCAGCCACGGGACTGGCTATGTGACCCAACCTCTTTCCCATGAAAGGGATACAAGTAATGCCTCCTTATAGGGTTGTTAAATAAAATCGCACATGCAGAGCCTTTGTAAAACGCCTGGCACATAGTGAGCACCCAGTGAACATTCTGATTTTCATGATGATTATAATTATACTTGCTATTATCTCGTTTTGAAGTATCTTGTCCAAAGGCCTCCAATAAAACAATTACCATTCTTGTCTTTCCTTTATGCTCATACTCTGCACAGAGGGAACTAAAATTATAAGAATTTATTTTGTGTGTCAGAATGACGAAAAGGCTAGATTAAATTAATGTATTTGGGGGGTCTAGGAATATAATTAAAGTATGCTTCACAGGACATTGAGCTTTAGAAAAATAAGTACCCGTAAAAGCAAGAGGGCCCAATTTGAAGGTGACCAGGTTACTTGTCTAACAGGTTTCTATTGAAGCGTGTTACCTGTTGCTGTGAATAGTTGCTGGTTGCTATTGTATCCATTCGATGTGACTGCTGCTAATGGAACTTAATGAGTCTCCATTACTGCTGTTCAGACTGTACTGTTTTTGAATTAGATGAAACAGTGCACTGGATGGAAAGGCTCTAATTAAGCATATTTGGAAGGGAATATACATATATTTTGTGCTCTTTCCCACATCATCCTTGCCAATTCTAATTTTGCAGATTCCAGAAGGTCAGAAAGCATTTGTTAAGCCTCTATTGAGTTATAGAAGTTGAGTTCTATAGCAGAAGCAAGAAAGAGAGGGCTCTAACCCACATGGAATAGAATAAAAATGGAAAATACCACCTTCTTTTTTTTTTTTTTTAATTCCTATTTACAAAGCTCTCAGTAAGAAGAAGTGGAAGTTCTTTCAGTCCCTATGCTTTGAGGTGTATTCTAGAGATGGGAAGTCTAACACTATTTTGGGAAGTATTTGTTACAACTGAGTGTTAACCTCTTCGTGGTATAATCAGTGCTTTTCTCTGCTCCCAAATAAGACTGGAGATACTTTTTTATTTCTGTAGTGGTCATGTCAGCCATGCACCTGTTGGTTAGATTCCCTGTCTTGCTGGTTAGTACTTTAATCCTGTTTATTAGAGAGTTTCCTTATTGAGAAATTGGAATTGTATTTCCTTCCCCCAAATAGAAGAACAAAACAGAGGAAAAAAAGAAAGAAAAAACAGTATCATAAGACAGAGCTCACTGAAAATTTTGGCTTTTTTCCTATTTAGTCCTCTATATATTTTCAGTTAAAACGATACAAGTTTGTATTTTTCCCCCCTTACACATCAAAAACCTTTTCTCCAAATAATTGCATATACTTCATAAATATATTTTAACTTTTATTATATCTTTACTTACAATTTTTTTCTTTTGAGACAGAGTCTTGCTCTGTTGCCCGGACTAGAGTGCCATGGCATCAGCCTAGCTCACAGCAACCTCAAACTCCTGGGCTCAAGCGATCCTCCTGCCTCAGCCTCCAGAGTAGCTGGGACTACAGGCATGCGCCACCATGCCCGGCTAATTTTTTCTATTTTTGGTAGAGACGGGGTCTTGCTCTTGATCAGGCTGGTCTCGAACTCCTGACCTCAAGCTATCCTCCCGCCTAGACACCCCAGAGTGCTAGGATTACAGGTGTGAGCCACTGCGCATGGTGGCTACTTACGACACATTTTTGTATCAAATTTAAGTTTAAAAACGTATAACGCATTGCATGACAGACATCCACAGAAAATAACTATCAACAATGTCTGTGTAATATTCTATCTCATAATGTAACAAATATCTGTCTGCTTTAGCATGGTGAAATGACAGCCTCTTTATAAGTGTGGTGTCACAATATGGCATGCTTGCCACCATTGAGTTGTTTTACTCCCTTTTTTAAAAAAAAAAACAAATATTACAATATAGAAGAACTCATTATCTCCTTAATTGTCACCTCTGATTACCTAGTGAGATTGACTGTTTTAGTTTTTCCATGTCTTTTGTATTGTATCTTTGTGAACTATCTGTTCATGTCCCTAGGAGTCTTTGTAATGTTTTTCCTCGATACTTCGTAAAAGCTTTTGATTTATTAAAGGATATCAGTGCCTCATCAAATTTGTTAGAATACTAATTTTCCAATTCATTTCTGTTTTAACATTTTGCATTATATTTTCACATACAAGTTATGCACTCAAATCTGATATATGTTGTAATTTATTCAATTGATCATTAAGCTTAGCTAACTGTGTTAGTTTCCTAGGGCTGCTTTAGCAAAATACCAAAAACTGTGTATCTTAGAATAACAGCAATTTATTGTCTCACACTTCTGACAGCGAGAACTCCAAAATCTAAGTGTTGGCAGGGCCATGCTTTCTCTGATGTCTCTGGGGAAGAATCCTTTCTTGCTTCTTCTAGCTTCTGGTGTTCTGGCAAGCCTTGGCATTCCTTATCTTGTAGATAGATGGTTAATGTATCCCCATGTGTCTTCACTTTGTCATCCCTCTGTGCATGTCTGTGTCAAAATTTCTCCTTGTGATAAGGACACCAGCCATATTGGATAGGGTCTAGCCTAATGACTGTATTTTTTTTTTTGAGATAGAGTCTCGCTTGTTGCCCAGGCTAGAGTGAGTGCCGTGGCGTCAGCCTAGCTCACAGCAACCTCAGACTCCTGGGCTCAAGCGATCCTGCTGCCTCAGCCTCCCGAGTAGCTGGGACTACAGGCATGCGCCACCATGCCCGGCTAATTCTCTATATATATTAGTTGGCCAATTAATTTCTTTCTATTTATAGTAGAGACGGGGTCTTGCTCTTGCTCAGGCTGGTTTTGAACTCCTGACCTTGAGCAATCCGCCCGCTGCCCGCCTCAGCCTCCCAGAGTGCTAGGATTACAGGCGTGAGCCACCGCGCCCGGCTTCTAATGACTGTATTTTAACTTGATTACCTCTTTAAAGACCTGATTTCCAAATAAGATCACATTCTGGAGTTTTGGGGTTAAATCTTCAACATATCTTTTTTGGGGTACACAAAACAAAACATCCCCCTATAGAGATATTTACGCAGATTATACAGATAAATATTAACCAACACTTTCTTCTTTCACTCTCTACATTTCTCTAAATAAAATTGGTACGTTCAATTCCACTTATAATTTATTTTAAAAATTTTAAATTTAATTATGGGTACCTAATAGTTGTAATTTATTTTTGCACTTGCATAAACGAAGATGTGTTTTGTTGTTTATACCTAAATCAATAGCTGGATATCATAATCTTGGGTTAAAGTATTCAAAGTCATTTTAAAAATTTGTTCCAGGCTGAATATAGGTCCTTTGAAATAGATTCTGTTTGGAATTTGGGAAGCCTATTTGAAGTGTAGAGTTGTAGTTTTTTTTTTTTTTAAGACCAATAATTTTTTTTTCTTAATTACATATTTGATCATTAATTCTGTTCCTGTCATTCTAGTTTCTTCCTCAGGATCTCCTTTTCCCATCAAAATAGTAAACTGTTTGCCAGTAGGAGGTATTCAAGTGTTTGTCGTGTAAATAAATAAATATATTAATGAATAGAAATGGGGTGATTGATCAGATGATTGAAGTAATAAATAGCAGGAAGCTGGAAATGTGGTTTGGAAATATTAGAAGGAAACAAAGGGCTAGCAATGTAGATTGGTAATTTTTCCTCTTTGGGGCAATAGTGGGAGTTATAGGAGTGGGGGAGATCACCTGGGCTGAGAATCTATATTAGAGAGAGAAGGCAGAAGACAGGCCTAACTCAGGGAAGCAGCCCAGTCTGAGGATCTGCCTAAGGATAGAAGCAGGACAGGAGAGAGCCAGGCAAATCCCCACCGACTTAATGTGTTCATTGCTTTTCTTCCTCCCTTCACCATTAGGGTTACAGAGATGTACTTCCAGATGAAAGAAATGAATGAAAAAGTGTCTTTTATAAAGGACTCCTTAATGTCTTTGGACAGCCAGGTGGGGCACCTGCAGGACCTCTCCGCCCTGACTGTGGATACCCTAAAAGTCCTTTCTGCTGTTGACACCTTGCAAGAAGATGAGGCTCTCCTGGCCAACAGAAAACATTCTACTTGCAGAAAACTCCCCCACAGCTGGAGCAATATCATCTGTGCAGAGGTTCTAGGCAGCATGGAGATGTCTGGGAAGAAGAAATACCAGTATTACAGCATGCCCCCTTCTTTGCTGAGGAGCCTGGCCAGAGGCCAGCACCCCCTGAGGGTGCAGAGGGGGGCGCTTCCTGAGATTACATGTAGTCAGAGAGAGGCATCGAATGTAAGAGGTGACCAGGAAGAGCAAGAAACAGAAAACAGGAGGGTTGCTCTTGGGGTGTCTCCTAACAGACAAGCACATTCAAAGTATGGCCAATTTCTCCCAGTCCCTTCTAGTCTAAAGCAAGTTCCTTTTCCTGTAGAAACTGTTTTGCCTCTGTCCAGACCACCTGTGGAAGGAGGTACAGGTGTGCTGGTGGCTGAACAGGTCATGCACAGCGAGGTTCCTGTTCACCTGACTTGGCAGACCCCCAGTGTCGCAGGCCAGGTGTCAGTGGCTGAGTCGGTGGAGCAGCACCAGCCGATCGCTCAGATACCAGACAAGCCAAGCACGGAGGAGCGAGCTCTTCCCGCTTTGTGTTGCACCCCTGCACCCCTGACAGCGACTTCCCTTCCTTCCCAAATCAAGAGCATGCGCACTGGAGGTGGATATGTGAATTGGGCGTTTTCAGAAGGCGATGAAACCGGTGTGTTTAGCATCAAGAAAAAATGGCAAACCTGCTTGCCCTCCGCTTGCAACAGCGACCTCACTCAGAGTGAACGGTGCCAGTCTCAGAGCCAGCGCAGCTCCCTGTCTGATAATTCTTCAACAAGATTGGTCCCTAGTAGCGAGTGCTCAAAGGTGGGACCGTGGCTCCAGCTAAACACACCCTTTTGGATCAGTTCTCTCCACGGAGACAGGCCTTTCACTAGGAGCCATAGCTTTAGATTCCACAAGGAGGAGAAATTGGTGAAGAGCTCTAAGATGAAAAGTAAGGGGCAAATCTTTTTTTAAAAGCCAGTATTAAATCCTTTGCATTGCTACCTTTTTTTAAAAAGAATCTGTGACTCTTAACTATGTTCAAATTCTTTCCATTCTCTCAGTTTTTTCTGTAAAACAAAATGGGCCTCCCACACTGTTAAACTTTCTCATGTAGACTATTTCCCTTACAGATCTTTCAAGATCCTCAGAAATAGGGCAGTCAGCTTGGAGCACAGCAAAGATGCTAGCCAAAGACAGGAGATTGTCAAAGAAAAGGAAGCACACACAAGGACTACAGGTGCCAGTAAGTGTCTTTTAAGTTTTGGGCAAATTAATGGATTAATGAATTATGGAGGGAATGGGTTGGTTATCACGAGATTGGATCTGTTACAAAAGCCAGTGGCCTATCTTGGCTTCATTTCTCTTTATTATAAACTGCCACCTACATAAAATAGTATTTTACAGGAAGGAGTGAAGATATAAATTTGAATCATTAGAATGGATATACTGCCATTTATTTACTTGCTCACATGCTGAAGGACATTTGGATTGTTTTCAGTTTTTGAATATTCCAGAAAAAACTGTTATGAACACTTGTGTACAAATCTTTTCTTATGGATCTATGCTTTAATTTCTCTTTGGTAAATACTTAGAAGCAGAATGTCAGAGTTGTGGGGTAAGTCGTTTTATAATTTCTGAAGAAACTTCCAGACTGCTTTCCAAAGTGTAACATTTTCTATGCCCACCAATAGTCTGAGCTGTTCAGCTGTTCCACATTTTCTCCAGCTTAGCCTGTTTTGTGTTGCTATAACAGAGTACCTGAGAATGGATAATTAATAAAGAAAAGAGATTTATTAATATTTCTTAAAGTTCTGGATGCTGGGGCTACATCTGGTGAGAGCTTTCTTGGTGGTGGGGACTCTCTACAGAGTCCCGGGGTGGTGCGAGGTGTCACATGGCAAGGGAGCTCATGAAAGACAGCCAGGCTAGCTTTTGTAACAGACTTTCTCTCCTGATAACTAACCTACTCCTTCAATAACCCATTAATCCATGCACCTCTTAAAGGCCCACCTCTTTTTTTTTTTCTTTAAATAATTTTTAAAACAATTTTTTCTTTTTTTTAATTTTTATTGAAAGGAAAGAAAGAAGACAGACCTACCTCTTAGATTTGTGAAGATGAAGAAGATATTAGATGACCATGTGCAGTGTGCTAATAGAAAGGTGCAATGTAAGTATCTTATTGGCAAAATAGACCTCCAAAATTTGAGAGTAAATTTTCTAAACACAGATCCTTCCCAACCTAGAAAGGGAAATTAATGATAAGTTGGGGTTGGTTGAAAATAGCCTACCTCTCTTCCCCCAAAGGATTAGAACTGGACAAGTTCATGTGAGAGCTCCTTAACTCTTAAAGTATAAAGTGAGAGCTATTAGAGGGCCAGTGAACGACAGATGAACTTCAGTGTAATGTGGATTGTTCAGAACTGAGCTAGGGAAGATCCCTTGAAGAATGGTGCAGCCGTTGGTAGTCCTCCAGCCTAGTCAGGTTAGGGTGTTGGGAGTGAAGGAAGGGATGAACGAGAACATATGGGAAAAAAGAAAGGACAATTCAATGAGTCGTGTTAGGATTAGATGTGAGCGAGGGACGGGATAGAGTCCAGGGATGACTGTAGCAGGGGTATCAAAGCTTTGAAAGAAAGGTGCCATCCAGATAAAGAATGATAAAAGAGTATGGAAGAGAAAGCAGTAGGATTTCTTGAGCTGAAGGTTCTGTGGCACATTTAGACGGAGATGTCCAGGAGTCTTGGGATGCATGAATCTGAAGAACCTGGATGAGAAGATCATCTGACCATGGAAGAGTCAATTGTAGGAGTGCATCTGCCATTGTAGGAAACTTAAAATATCGGCAGAGGAAGGGATTGTGCATCAAGCAAGTAAAGGTGAAGGAAAACTGGGGTGGGCTGAGGGTTTGAACCCTAGGAGGTGCCAACTTCTGTACCAGTGGGCAGATGAAAGAGGAACTCCATGGAAGAGAGAAGCAGGAACTGCATGGGAGTATAAGGAGAACAAAGAGAAGGTGTGACCAAGAAGCCAAGTGCATAGAGGAGAAATTCTGGAACCAGACATTTACAACAAAATAATTCAATGGTTAAAAATCTAAACATTAATTATCATATCCTTATATTATTCTTAGATCCTTCTTGGATTTGAGTAGAGGATTAGAAGGTAGATGGGTATGTAGCTCCTGAAAACTATGGGATACTTCCAAGGAGTTTAATGAGCCTAATTCAACTGCAAAATACAGTCAATTTTCTCTCTTGATAGACATATCTTCAACGCAGCTTTTTTTTTTTTTTTTTTGAGACAGAGTCCTTGCTCGTTGTCCATGTAGAGTCAGTGGCGTCCCTTGTAGCTCACAGCAACCTCAAACTCCTGGGCTTATAAGCCATCCCTCCTGCCTTCAGTCTCCCAAGTAGGCTGGGACTACAGGCTTCATTGCCATGACGCCCAGCTAATTTTTATTCTTTAGTAGAAGCAGGGGTCTTGCTCTTGCTCAGGCTGGTCTGGACTCCTGAGATCAAGTGATCCTCTTCCTCGCCTCCAGAGTGCTAGGATTACAGTGTGTGAGCCACTGTGCTTGGCCAGTGGTCTGTTTTCGATACTGTCATACTTGTCGATGTTCATTTCTGGGGAGCTCATAAAATGATGGGGGGGTAATATTTCCTAACGTCAACTGAGCCAATAAGTTTGAAGAGGGAGGAAAAGAGATCAGGAAGATATATTGTATGTTTGCTTTACCTCTAAAGAAGAGATTGCCTACAACTCTCTCAGATTTTTTTTTTATTTTCAGGCATATTATACAGGGTACAAATTATCGTTACTATATTGCCTGTGCCCCAGCCAAGCAGAGTTCAAGCGTGTCCATCCCCCGACCATGCACACCACACCATTAGGTGTAATATACCAATCCCCTTCCCCACCACCCACCTGAACACCTGGTGACATGTTTACTCCTTCTAAATTAAGTGTTGTCAAGTGGGAAAAAGAGTGTGGTAAGGCTGTTTTATAACCGTGCTTTTCTTTCTACTTGCAACCTAGTTCTATTGTTTTGACAACCTAGTAGTGTAAAGCCAGCTTTCTTCCCTCTCTGTGGTTCCTTGAAGTAAAAAATGTTTTCATTATATTTTTCACACTGAGCAGTTTGAATTGCTTCTATTTGGGAATGCTGTGTTTAAAAATGGTCGGATTGTTAACATAATGTGCATTGTAACTCGACAGTGGAGAGTTGCAGCTCGAGCAGGTCTCATTATTTTGGACTGTAAAACTGAGGAATGTCTTGGATCCTCTGCATGGGAATGTGGGGAAGTGCGTTTATACGTTCATGGCCCTAGAGCCCCCCAACAAAAACTCGCCTAGATCCCAGCTGAACTGCTGAGAGTCCTGGATGCGGATGCTTCATGCCATTGAACATGGAGTCAGACTGCTCCGGTTTGATGCCCGATCGGTCCGTGCCAGCCATGGGACTGGCTATGTGACCCAACCTCATTCCTAAGGATCAAGTAATGCCTCTTATAGGTGTTAAATAACGCAATGCAAAAGCCTTTAACGCCTGGCCATAGTGAGCACCGTGAACCTGATTCTGTGTATAATACTTGTGTTATCTTGAAGTACTGTAAGGTCCCAATAAAACATTACCATTCTTGTTTTTCCTTAATGTCATACTCTAGCACAGAGACAAATTATAGAATATTTCATGTTCAGAATGACGAAAGGCTAGATAAATTAATGTATTGGGGGGTCTAGGCAATATAACTAGAAGTATGCTTCACAGGACATTGAGCTTTAGAAAAATAACGTACCCGTAAAAGCAGAGGGCCCAATTTGAAGGTGACCAGGTTACTTGTTCTAACAGTTTCTATGAAGCGTGTTACTGTTGCTGGGTGAAATAGTTGCTGGTTGCTTATTGTATCCATCGATGTGGACTTGCTGCTAATGGAACTTAATGAGTCTCCATTACTGCTGTTCAGACTGTACTGTTTTGAATAGATGACAACAGTTTGCACTGGATGGAAGGCTCTAATTAGCATTTATTTGGAAGGATATAACATATATTTTGTGCTCTTTCCACTATCATCCTTGCCAATTCTAATTTTGCAGATTCCAGAAGGTCAGAAAGCATTTGTTAAGCCTCTATTGAGTTATAGAAGTTGAGTTCTATAGCAGAAGCAAGAAAGAGAGGGCTCTAAACCACATGGAATAGAATAAATGGAAAATACCACCTTCTTTTTTTTTTTTTTTTTTTTAATTCCTATTTACAAAGCTCTCAGTAAGAAGAAGTGAAGTTTTCAGTCCCTATGCTTGAGGTGTATTTAGAGATGGGAAGTCTAACACTATTTTGGGAAGTAGTGTTACAACTGAGTGTTAACCTCTTCGTGGTATAATCAGTGCTTTTTCTGCTCCCAAATAGACTGGAGATACTTTTTATTTCTGTAGTGGTCATGTCAGCCATTGCACCTGTTGGTTAGATTCCTGTCTTGCTGGTTAGTACTTAATCCTGTTTATTAAAGAGTTTCCTTATTGAGAAATTGGAATTGTATTTCCTTCCCCAAATAGAAGACAAAACAGAGGAAAAGAAAAGAAAAAACAGTATCATAAGACAGAGCTCACTGAAAATTTGGCTTTTTTTCCATTTAGTCCTCTATATATTTTCAGTTAAAACGATACAAGTTTGATTTTTCCCCCCTTACACATCAAAAACCTTTTCTCCAAATAATTGCATATACTTCATAATATTTTAACTTTTATATATCTTTACTTACAATTTTTCTTTTGAGACAGAGTCTTGCTCTGTTGCCCGGACTAGAGTGCCATGGCATCAGCCTAGCTCACAGCAACCTCAAACTCCTGGCTCAAGCGATCTCCTGCCTCAGCCTCCAGAGTAGCTGGGACTACAGGCATGCACCACCATGCCCAGCTAATTTTTTCTATTTTGGTAGAGACGGATCTTGCTCTTGATCAGGCCTGGTCTCGAACTCCTGACCTCAAGCTATCCTCCGCCTAGCACCCAGAGTGCTAGGATTACAGGTGTGAGCCACCGCGCCTGGTGGCTACTTACGAAATTTTTGTATCAAATTTAAGTTTAAAAACGTATAACGCATTGCATGACAGACAGTCCACAGAAAATAACTATCAACAATGTCTGTGTAAATCTATCTCATAATGTAACAATATCTGTCTGCGGACTCAACATGCTCATCAAAAAAACAAACAACAAAAAAAAAAACAAACAACAAAAAAACAAATATC